TCTCTGTCGGCAAACCTGAACCTCATTAAGAGAGAAATATGTGTGCCTTTAAAAAGATGTATTTTGGAAACAGTAGGTATCATGGATTTGTTCTCTGTGGGAAACAAAATGTGGGTTTCAGGCATTTCTCTCTTCAGCTTCTTGGTGTTTGGGCGTTTCTGTGACGCCGCTACATGGCGCTCAGCTCCCGGACGGCGAACCGGTATCACGCACAAGGGGGCTGTGTTTTACGACGTTCCTCGGTTTCCACAGCAGGATACACCGCTCGTGCGGGCTGTGTCGGTAGCGTGCGGGGAGAGTCAAATCGTGGTGCAAGTCAGGAGAGACCTGTTCGGTACCGGTCACCTGATCAACTCCTCGGACGTCAGTCTAGGAGACTGTGTGGCCACAAGGCAAGACGACGCGGCGCAGGTCTTGATCTTCGAGTCCGAGCTGCAGGCTGTCGTAGTTCGCTGATGGTAGGGTGTCCGGCTTTGACATCATAGCTTCATATTTTAGTGGTGTGCCGGCTTCACCCGTCGCTTCTCTCCTAGAGCGCACCGGAGGAGCTAGTGTAGAACTTCTCTCTCAACTACACCCCGCGGGCGATTGCCAACACCCCCATCGTGAGAACAAATGGCGCCGTTGTCAGTATTGAGTGTCGCTACATGAGGTGAGGGAGGCATCTGCTGTCCTGCAGGGTCCACAGAGCTCCAGGGCTGAATAAGGACCGTGTCACTCTACTGGAGTCTTTCCCAGGTTTCACAATGTGAGCAGCAGCGCCCTGAAGCCCACCTGGGTCCCCTACACTTCCAGAACATCCTCTGCAGACATGGTGGATTTCTCCCTGGTGCTCATGGCTGGTATGTGCTCTTGTAGGGGAGAGGTGCAGCAAGACTCCCCTCCGGACTGGGGATGTCTGCTAGAGAAGATTGATTTGGCTTGACTTGGGGTCTATGAAGGTTTGTTCCCAGTAACCAGAGCTCTTTGAAGGGATCTGTATTTGGGTTCATCTGGTTCTCTGCTATTTTCCTGCTGGACCTATTCGTGGCCATGAGTAATGGCTCCTCTCCAATGCTAGATGACTGGATCTCCCCAAGGACCTCCAACGTGTCCTGAATATTGAAGCCTCCGTCAGCCAGGCCGACCACCAGCCCCTCCGGCTCTTTGTGGACAGCTGTGTGGCCACCCTGGTGCCTGACCAGACCTCTACCCCCAGATATGCCTTCATTGAGAATCATGGGTGAGTCCTGTGCCTTCTGATGGAGGAACTGCTGTGCAGACGGTGCACTTGCAATGACCTCCCCTCTCCCCCAGGTGCCTGACTGATGCCAAAACAACAGGCTCCAGTTCTCAGTTCATGCCAAGACCCGAGGATGGCAAGCTGAGGATGAAGCTGGATGCCTTCAGGTTCTATCAAGATGCCAGGAGCTCAGTGAGTGTCTTCC